CATGGAAACATGTATAGTTTATTCAGGATGCACCCAGAATCCATCCTATTTAGGGGCTGCTTTTTAGCACAGTTTGCCCCCCCCTGGGGGAAAGCACCAGATTTGGGGGGAAGAAGGATCAGGAAGCACTCTTGGCCTTGGCACTCTCCTTCCAATCGCTGGATTTTCATATATTTGAAAACCTAATATAAACAACAGAGAGGGAAATTTGCATTTGGGGCAGCAAGGAATGAAAAATGGAGGCGGCATAATGTATTGCTGCTCGAAGAAGAGGGATGACAGTGGTAAAGCCGTGCACACGCGTCAGGCCCCAATCGGCTTGTGGCAAACTCATTTCCTGGCAGAATATAAGGTTTCATCTGCTGGAACATTTAATAGGCATCAAAGAAAGATCGCTTCCCCTCCCCTCCTGCAGATTGAGAGCCTTCGCTCCGGCTATATTTCCACCATTTTATTAAACCCTTTATATAGTTTTAATATAATACATACCATTCCTCAGGAAATATATCAGTTCTTATGCACTTCTAGGATTCCCAGAGTTTCTAATGGTTATGTATGTTTCATCTGTATTTTTTGGAGAGACGCTCCGCATGATAAAAAATATGTGCCAGAAGATCAACTTCTACACCGTGCGACTTGAAGGAGAAGGAGAACTTTACAGGGTGGAGATAATTTCCGGAATTTGGGTAGAGGCAGGGAGCAGGGAGAGTGGTCAGCCTGAGAACGCCCTGAAGGCCCCTGAAGTCTTTTTGGCCCCCTCTCACGCCATTCCACTAATTATTTTAACTACATCTAGGATTGGTCTCCCACTTTTTGTAGTGGGAGACCAATCCTAGATCTCCCAGGCTGATGCTGTGTCAAGAGCCCTTTCTGGGTGGGCCCCATGCCAGCCCCTTGGGTGAGCTGTGAAGTTCTGTTGGGGCAGAGCTGGGATTAGCTTCCGAGGGAGTCCAAAGACCTCCTGCTCTGTCTCACCATTACATCAAATGTGAGTTGATATACTTTATGCCAGCTTTATTGTTGGCATAACATTATGCCAGCCTCTTAACTGGCCCAATGATATTGCATGTTTTGGGACAGCAGCCTGGGTGATTCCCCGATTACTTTCCCATTCCTGGGTTCCTGTATCTGTGAGAACAAGTTTTCCCAACCAGCCTCTTTGTCTAGGCCAGGGGTCTGCAACCCGCGGCTCCGGAGCCGCATGTGGCTCTTTTACACCTTTGCCGCGGCTCCGGGGCAGATACTAGCGAGGGGAGGAGGTGCATTGTGCGCCCCGACACTCCCCACTGTGGCGGGTGCTGTACTGGCTGTGACGTCGCATGGGGGCGGTGCGTGCGTTAGTCACGCACCGTCCCGACGTCACCTTCCCGCCCGCTGTCAGATCGGAGGGCAGCGGCGCGCATGCTTTAAATGTCGCAATGGTTTTGCGGCTCCCAGGTTTTTTCCCCCTTCGGAAACGGGTCCAAGTGGCTCTTTTTGTCTTGAAGGTTGCAGACCCCTGGTCTAGGCAATGGCATTGGCTGACTAGTTAAGCACCTTAATTAGCAGAAGCAAAGGAATTGCTCTGTGCCCTCGAGCAAATGCCTGGGCCTTTCCTTCCGCTCCCTCACTGAGCTGCTAGGCAGGGGAACAGCAGAGCAGTGTGGGGGAGCTGAGCTGGAAGCAGGCTGGAAGATGTAGACACAGAGACCTGCTTGCTCTGTGCTGGATTCAAAGCTGCGACTTATACAGAAGCGAGGTCTGCTGGGGCGTTCATGCTGTGAGCCCCTCCATCCTGTGCTCAGGTGGTATAGATGAGTAAATGAAACCACATATCCTGAAGACACTACAGTCCCCACTGACCTTCATTCCAAGGACACCGAAGCTGGGCAATCACCACTCAAGAGATCAGGGTGGCTTGTATCAATATTAAGAACATCAGAAAAATCCAGCAGCAGGTGGGTAATCATCATCATCATCATCATCATCATCATCATTTTTTTATCTATACCCCACCCATCTGACTGGGTTCCCTCAGCCACTCTGGGCGGCTCACAGCATATATCAGAACATACTAAAACATCAAACATTAAAACCTTCCCAATACAGGGCTGCCTTCAGATGTCTTCTAAAACTCAGATAGTTGTTTATTTCCTTGACATCTGATGGGAGGGCGTTCCACAGGGCAGGTGCCACTACCAAGAAAGCCTTCTGCCTGGTTCCCTGTATCTTTGCTTCTCGCAGTGAAGGAACCAGCAGAAGACTCTCAGAGCTGGACCTCGGTGTCTGGGCTGGACGATGGAGGAGGAGACGCTCCTTCAGGTCATATACCTTCTGAAGCCATCCAGGCTCCTGACTATTATTCCATCCTCTGGTGGCAAATGCCATAGTTTAACTATGTGATGTGCAAATAAGTCTTTCCTGTTCCTTCCCTGCCACAACCCACTCAGCCCCTGCTCTGGTGTTGACTTTCTGGGAACAAGGCTGCTCGATTTTAAACTTAAAAACTCTTCATCTAGGTGTCCCTAGCCTGGAGGGGTGGAAGGGGAGCCTTGCTGCTCCCCATGCTTGGTGGCATCCTGTGACTGCTAAGGCAGAAATCTCTTTTCCCTATAACCCCCACTCAGAGCAATGGGATGCCATCAAGTCCTGGTGGTGCTGTGCGGGACGGGCTTCCCCTCTTTGCATTCAGTGGCAGCAAAGAGTCCTCAGCATGATCCAGTCCATCTGGTGGGTGGCTGGGTGATGACTTTTTTTAAAGCTTAAAAGGAATAAATATTGCTATGAGTTTGAGAGTCAGTCAGGATGATCCCTTGGGGGAACATTCATACCTGTGATCCTGTATCTGTGAGGCTGGAATTTATGATAGGGAGCCTGGCAGACCAGCCAAACTGGTCCCTTTCTCAAGGCAATGACCTGAGTTGCTCAGCTAATACCTGCCATCTGCATCTTAGAAGAGTGAGCTCCCTTGCCACAGAAACAAAGGGGTGGGTCTTTCCAGAGGTGAACTTAGGGCAGCATGACTGGTTATCCTGCACAGGGCACAGGGGCAAAGGTCCACCCCTGGCCTTTCCCCCACCTCACTCTCACTTTTTGTGGGAGAGCAGAAAGGGAGATGCAGAGAGATGTCTTGCTCTGTGCTGAGCCTAAACTGGACTTTGGGGCTCCCCTGGAACCCTAGCTGGAAGGCAAGAGCTACTGGGGTGTTAAGGCTGTGGGCCCCTGCATCCTACATGGAGATTGTGTATATATATATATGTGTGTGTATGTGTAAATAAAACCATACATCCTGTGCTATTTTTCTGGAAAAAGAGGTGCCAGACCTCACCATGAACTCCTCCTAGAATGGCAATAGTGCACACCTGAGAGTTCCAGCTGAAAAAAGTCCTGCATACATCCTAAAGATACCACAGTCTCCGTTGACTTTCATTCCAAGAGTCTCTTGCTGCGTGGAGACTGGGGTGGCACTCCTGGCGCTGGCCTTCTCTCGGCATAAATGAATTCAGTAGCAATTCTGCCTGACCCAGTGGAGAGCATCACTGTGGGGTACAAGAATTAGTAGCAATAATAAGAAATAACAGCAAAGCAACAACATCGTAACAACACCTCTCCTTAAGAAATCTTTATGTACTTCATGCAGACGGTATGTTTAGCTTGGATAAGAGGAGACAGAGAGGAGATGTGATAGATAGACATTGAAATATGTAAAAGGCTGTCACCTAGTGGTTGGAGCAAGCTTGTTATCGCCTGCTCTGGAGGCTAGGATCCGAACCAAAAGACTCAAGTTACAAGAAAGGAGACTCCAACAGCAGGAAGAGCTGGTTATAAAAATGGCACACACAAAACCATTAAAGAAGAACAAATTTGATTTAAATCATAAAATAAAAACAGCAAAACTGTCGCAGAACCAGAGGGGCAGCAGATGACTGGTATTTTATGCGTCTGAAGTTTCTTGTGTACCACTTAAGAGGTGAAGAGGTGTTATGTATTGAAGTTCTCACCCTGGCCACCAGGTGTATCGTGTATATAGTTTTCACTCAGGTCCATGTCAGTTACTTTAGGCGGGAAACCCTGGGTTGTGGTTGCTACAATGTTGACAGCCGGCTGCCTATAAAAGCAGGCCGGCTGAGCTGTTTGCTGTTCAGTTCTGTTCCAGCTTACAAATAAAGAGCTGCTTTGGAGAAATCGCTGCGTCGTCTGATATGTTCACCCACAATTTAACAAGAGGTGTACTGTACAAGCATATAGATCTGTAGCCTAGATAGTTCCGTTGGTTGGAGCGTGGTGCTTCTAATACCCAGGTTGCAGGTTTGATCTCTGTACGGGGCAGCTCCATGTTCCAGCATTGCAGGGGGTTGGACTAGATGATCCTTAGGGTCCCTTCCAACTCTACAATTCTAATATGCTATCATGCTATATCGATAAATGTTCTTAAATAACAATGATTTTTTAAAAAAGAAACGCATCTCGCTATGGGGTAAACAGCTTTCCAAACTTTGCTGAAATGGTTTATAAATATTCTCAGCAATGAAATTCTTGGCAATGAGTTGGGGGCTCTTCCTGCTTCTTCTTGTGCTTGAGTAGCACAGCTTCTCACCCTGAGCCCTTTCCTCCCAGTTTTCACAGGCAGGGAGAAAATGTTGGAAATGAAGGCCACTGCCCCCCCCCCCGCTTTCTGCATTTTCCTCTGGAGCGTCCTCCCGGAGTTGCCAAGCAGCTGAGAAGTGCCGCAGAATGAAGCCCTCTCTCAAGGAGGGCCGCCCAGCCAAGATCCTGTTTGCCCAGCTCCTTCAGGTCCGGCTTGGTCTCCCCCTCCCTCTCCCATTTCCACCTGCTTAATTCCTCTGCGTCTGCCTCTCGCTCACATCCTGCCAGCAACCATCATGCCCCCCCCCCCACGGCATTTCCTTAATCACCTTTGGACTCATTTTCTCCCCCTCTGTCCCGAGGAGAAACATTTTTTACAAAAATCGTCTGCAGAAGTTTAACTGTTTAAAAAACCCATGGCTTGGTGATAAACGTTAAGAAATCCTGTCCTTTTATTGGAATGTGCTGCCTTTCAAATGTTTAACAGATTTGTAAAAATAATTTCTCTGAAAGGTTACAGTTCTGCTGAATTCCATTAGGAAGAGGCTCCTCTAAATCATGGCGCCCAGAGAGAGGGAGGGGAAAGAATCACATCACTTCCCATTCCACGCTGCACCACATCTGGGGTCTTGGTTCCAGCTGTGCGCACTTTAGGGCAGCTTCTAGGGTGACACACAACCAGCCCCCTGTCCCTGCCCTGCAGCAAGGAGGAGGAGGAGGAAGAGCTGCTCTGCTCTGAGGCATGAAATGGAGGGAGAAAAGGCTCTGGGGTGGCATGCCAGAGGTGCTGAGACCGAGGTGCAGAATTGTCCCTTTCTCCCTCCTCTCCCCCTCACACTGGCCTGTCGCACGCCTGGCGGAAAAGATTGTATTTATCACCTGTCAGGCTTTGGCACCGCTGAGTTACGTGGAGCAGGACAGCATAAAATTATCATACACAAGCATGAAATTACAAAATCGCTCGGAACTGAACAACAAAATTATTTCATTTCGGAGGGAGGTCCTTCCATTTTTTAGCCCTGACACCTCGGCTGCCAAACTTTGAATGGGAATGGAGAGTGAGGAGCAGGAAGAATATAGACACCAATAACAAGCCAAGGCATGTAAACTAGCCATGCAAATACCCTGCATTAATGGCCCCTGAAAACTCCCACCGGAGACGTGTAACTAAATAAACGTCACATGTCCCAATAACTCAACTTTCCTCATACGCTGTGAAATGAATTATGCCGCAATTGGAGGCCGGCAGTGGGATTCCCGTATGGCTGGTGTTGCTGCAGATTACATGTGTTTCTTGATAGTCCTCTCCCGGTCCTTGTTATCGGAAAGAGGTAAGCGCAGCCGAAGTCTCAGCGCTGGTATCGATCTGGAGCTGCAGAGGGAGTGCAGAACAAGAGCAGGCTGTGGTTTGTGGGGCAGCAGGGCTGGGCTTCGGGTGAAGAGCCAGGAGGAGCCCCTCTCCCGCCCAGTCACAAGAAGCGCCAAGGCCCTGCTTCCACAGTGCCTGGGGCTGAGTCAGGGCAAAGAATCCACCACAACCCTTCCGAGACCAGGGAGAAGAGACGATGGAAGAGGACTGGAAAAAATTTAAAGACTATTTACAAAAACATTACAAATTGTATGAATGTTAGGAGGATGCACAATTGAAAGTAACATGGCAACAGTTAAATTATTGCAAGATATTTGAGAACAGATAATGTTTAAGCTAACGTCGAAATTGGAAGTAATATCTGGTTCAATAGAAGGAGGTGAATTTATGACAATTACAATTGAAAAGTTGAAATTGAATATTTGAGATTTATAAAATAAGATTGGAAGTAAGGTAACAAATTGCTGCATATAACTATAATGTTGGGGACGCAGGGAAGGGGGATGTGAGGAAGTCCAAAGTTTATGGAAAAAAATAACTTGTGAATACGTTTGTGTTATTTGTATTTTCTTTTTATATCTTTATTTCTTTCATGCTTTTTTGTTTCTTATCTGTTGGTTGTTTAAAAAAATCTTAATAAATATTTTATATATATATAAAAAAGAATCCACCACAACCCTAAGGACAAAGATGTCAAATCAGTAATGAGACAATGGGCACAAGACATTGGGCATAATATTCAGTTTTCATCTTGGGAAAAATTATGGAGGGAAGACATAAAATTTAGTGTGCTCTGCGTTGAAGGAAAACTACAGTATATGAAACTGATGTATCGGTGGTACTTAACACCTGTAAAATTAGCGAAAATGTATAGAACTGCTTCCAATGTTTGCTGGAAATGTAAGGAGAAGGAAGGCACCTTCTACCAGATGTGGTGGATGTGCAAGGTAACTAAAGCATTCTGGGAAATGATTTACAATGAGTTGAAAAAAATGTTTAAATTAACATTTGTGAAAAAGAGAGAGGCTTTTTTGTTAGGCATTTTAGGTTGAGAGATTCCGAAGGAGCAGAAACGACTATTCATGTACACGACAACAGTAATGAGAAAACTACTGGCCCAGAGATGGAAAGAAGACAAAAGTTCCAGCCAGAGAGGAATGGCTGATGAAGATGATGGACGAAACTGACTGAGAGAATCAGAAACCAGGAAGAGAAGAATTTTAAGAAGGAATGGGAAAAATTTATAGTGTATTTAAGAGAACACTGTAAACAACTAAAAGGTTTGGCAGGATTTGAGTAATGCTTGTAATGTACGAAAAACCATGGAAAATGGATTACTAATTTTTTTAACAAATTAAAGAAAATAAGATAAGCAGTTGGGGGGGGGGAGATTGATAATGGTAAGCATGGAAAGGCGGAGGAAGGTCAAAGGATTCGGAGAATCCTAAATGAAGAGGTGAATGATGTGTTTGAACAGGGAGCTCCCTGTCTCTTGAGTCTGACACTCTCAGCCCAGCCTACCGCACAGGGATGTTGTAGGAATTAAATGAGGACAGGGAGAACCACCTTGAGCTCCTTGGAGAAAATGGTATATATGCATACAAATAAATCTACCAAGGTGGTGTACATGCTCCTTCCCCCTATCTTCTTATCCGTACAACAACCCTGTAAGGACTGCGAGGCAGAGTCTGGCCCAAGGTCACCCAGTGAGCTTCATGGCTGAGTGGGGAATTGAGTTCTGGTCTCTCCCAGGACATAGACCGACACTCTAACCACTGCACTACCTAGCCAGCCCTGTCCTCTGGGCACTTCTAGCTGCAGACCATGCGAAAGAGCCCAGGTTCGGTCTCCAGTAGCATCTTCAGGCAAAGCTGGGGAAAGACTCCTGCCTGAAATCTTGATGCCTCTGCCCATCAGAGCTGAGCCAGGAAGTTGCCCAACAGTGCCCTGACTTGGAATAGGGCAGCTTCCCATGTCCCTATAGCTAGTCCTAGAGATGACTGCCAGGGCACTTGATCACACACCTACTTGGGGCTAGCGGTAGAAAAAGCACACAAGGGAGGAACCAGCAACTGTTCCCCGTTTTCATTCTCTTTTAAAATATGATGAGTAGCTCAGGAACAGCATGAGGATCAAAGGAACTCCCTAGGGGGCTTCCTACCTCGCCTTGGCACCCCACCCTACAGGCTTCAATGCTGCCCCCTTCAATGCTGTCTTTGTCACCTGGAACTAATTATATCAGTAAGATAGTCTTTATGTCTAATTAATACCAGAGAAATGCTTCCGCATATAATGAGTAGCCTTGGGCAATGGCCTCTGCACCCCCCCCAAAAAAAACCCCAATTTCCTTGGGCATATCTTGAGATGACCCTCATTGGATCACAGCAGTAAGGTCACCTCTTTGCAGAATGACTCTCAACTCCCAACTGCCTGGAAGGAATTTGCAACCTGCCTCTGCACCTCTTTCAGCCAGGCCACTTTCCTTATACTCCTTGACAAAGGAAGAGGAGCTGGGAATGGCTTCCAGGTGTGCATATTGGGAGTGAAAGGAGATGCACTTGCATTCACTCTTCAAATGTGAATGTGGGTCTGTGGAGGAAACCATAAAAGGAGGAGCCACCTTGAGGTTTCAGGGGCTGTTTCTACAATTGTCTAATTGGGAAAATGTTTTATTTGGTGCTCTTGTTGGCCTGCTTGTGGGCTTCCTAGAGGCATCGGTTGGCCCCTGTGGGAAGGGCCAGAGAAAGTTAATCCTGTAGGGCTCTATGTTACACACAAAGAAGTGGGTTGCTAATTGTAAGTTTCTCTTTGGCTTCTGCATTGCCAAATAACACCTTCTGATTGTTTTGTTTATGGATCAATTCACAGGAAAAAACTGAATCTGAGTAAGGAGATGCTTTGGAAATTGGATGAAGTAGCATCCCATGTGCCAATGCCTTTTGAAGTGTGCACTGAGGATGTCTGGCACCAGCTCAGCAGCAAGGCTGCTGCGCTCAGAACAGGCAGATCCAGATGCAAATCGTCTCTTGGCCATGAAGCTCCCTGGGTGACCCTCAGATAGTCACAGTCTCTCAACCTGACCTACCTCACAGGGTTGTTGTGAGGATAAAAGGGGGAGGAGACCGTAACCATGCCTTGAGCTCTTGGGAAGCTCAAGCAAGATATAAATGTCATGAGTAAATAGGAGACAGGCTGGCTCAGCTACACTGTGTGGAGTATAATCAGCTTGCCAGGAACCCAGATGAGGATGTGGCTCTGTGTGATGATGTCTCACAGAAAGCAAAGTCCCTTTCCTTGCTCCAAAGGCACCTTGGGAACAACAGGCCTGGCTGGGCCACCGGAGTGTCTCAGCTTTTTGGTTTTGTATGTCTAAGGCAGAGGAAGAGTTCTGTAGAACTCAAAAGCTGAGAATAAATGAAGAAAACCATGAGGTTCAGGACCACAACACCTCAAGGGCCGCCTCTCCCCATATGAACCAACTGATACTCTGCAATCCCTGTCTGAGGCCCCCCTCCTTGTGCCCCCCCCCCACGAGAGGACTGGAGGGTGGAAACACGAGAACAGGGCCTTTTCTATGGTGGCTCCCTACATGCAAAATGTTCTCCCTGGGGAGGGTTGCCTGGCACCATCATTATATATCTTGAGGCATCAGGCAAAAGCATTTCTTTTCTGCCAGGCCTTTGGCTTTTAATTATCTGTGGCCTCCTTGAGTAGTATTTTAATTTTGCATTTTAAAATTATAAATGCCTTTCAGATTTTTCTCTGTTTTGCTTTCTGCTGGTTTCAGTGCATGCATCCACTTGCTTGCTTGTTGTGGGTTGCTTTGAATTGCTTTGGGGGGGCACCAATAAGCTTAATAAATAATAATAATAATAATAATGGAACTGGTTGAGGTGGGAACTCTGTCACTGCAGCCTGCTAAAAGCTTCTTGTCCGTGGGACTCACAGAGAGCTGCTGAGAGCTTGCCTAGCCCTGGAATGGGCATCCTAACCCGGGAAGCTGCCTTGACACTGGTCCAGCCCACAAGGGGTCGCCTCCTCCTGCCGCCATCACTGCCCCTTCCAGAAGGTCCCCATCCATCTTCAGAGGAGCCATGGCGGCAGCTCCACCAGCCAAGAGAAGGGTAGGGCAGCAAGAGCTAGCACCCAGGTGGCTCCTTCATGGGAGGCAGAGAATACACTCCCCCTACCAAGCCAACCCTTTGGGGTGAGGATACCATGGGGCTGGCCCACCAAAGGTGATCCTGGGGTGCCATCGCAAAGCGGGTAGCCAGAGACCCCCCTGTCTTCTCTCTCCCTAACCCCATCAACCCCGGGAGCAGGAGGGGGGGGAGCTCACTATCAAACTGATTGACCTTGGGGTGCTGAAAGCAGCTGTCCTGAAAGGGGAGGCAGAGGCCACGGAGGAGAGTTGGGGAAGGCCCAGGCAAGCCAGAGTTACTGCCCTTGTGGCTGCCTTGTGAGCAACTGGGGCTTGTGGTTGGCCTCTGCCCTCGTGGGGGACGGGGCCCCTCAAGTGTTCCTCCCCCGGCTGCTCCCCAGGATTCCAGGCTGGGGTTTGAATCTTGGCCCTTTGCACACAAAGCAGATCCTCGGCCGCTGAGCTATGACGGCCATTCTCCCAAACGGCTGTTCACCCTTTGGGCCCCAGTTCCCCATCTGTAAAATGGGAACAATCACAGCTCACAGTGATGCTTAGTTAGCAAACATAATGATGAATGTTTACCACACACTTTGCAGGACTGCCTGTGTGGTGTTGGACTCGGACCTGGAAGACCAGGGTTCAAATCCACACTTGGCCACAGAGTTTACAGTCACAGCCTCGCAGGGTTGTTGTGGGAATTGAATGAGGAGGGGGAGGACCATGGATGCTGCCCTGCGGTCCTCGAGGGAAAAGGTGGGATAGAAATGCAACAAATAAATAAAACAATAATAAATGATAGCAGCTACCCGCCCCAAAGGATCGTTCAGCGTGCAAACGAAAGACGATGGGAGAGGCGGGAAAGAGTTAATCGCTTGCCTTGCCAGACTGCAAATTCTTAGCCATTCTCCCACATGCAGCCAAAAAACAGCTTGACATTTTCCATCCTTCACGAGAAAGACAAAGGCGTGAAGATATTCCCATGATTCCTTTCTGCATGCCTAACTATGAGCTCAGGTGCACCAGCATTTGCCCTGGACCGGCCTCATCAACATGAAGGGCGAACTCATCGCTTCTGCATCTTTCCTCGCCACGGCTTGATTAATTGGCTCGCAAGGACGCCTGCGGAATACCTAATGCCTGCGCGCCCGTCCCTCGCCTTTCTTCACAGCCTCGCACGCCATTTACATATACTTTATATTCCATAATTTTCACACACACACACACACACACACGGGAGCCCATCTCAGTAATTTGATGTAATGACGGCATGTCACCAAAAAAAGAGGAATTAGAAAAATCTGTAGGTACTTAATTTATTCTTGGGCTGGTTGTTGCCCCCCTTCTCTCTCTCTCTCTCTCTCTCTCTCTCTCTCTCTCTCTCTCCAAGAATATCTCTCTGAGAAAGACATTAATATTCATGCACAAGAGGGAAAGAGAGAGGGGGAAGGAGGAGGAGGAGGAAAGAGTTCACTCTCCGAAAGAAATTCTCTGCATTTTAGCCTTAAATTAAAGGCCTTTCCAGAGAAATAATATTTAACTAATAATGCTTAGAGGCAAAATGAATGGAAGTAGTCTCTATTTTTAACCCACCTGTGTAAGGTTGCCTGTATCACTTGCTAGACATGGCCCTGGCAGGGGAAGGAAGGAAGAAAGGAGAGCTGAGGCGAGCTGCGCTTCTTGAAAAGGATTCAAAAGAGCAGGAGAGGAAATTAAAGCCCCCTTAAATTATGCTAGCTGTGGTGCTTTAGTCTGCTGCTATTTCAATAAGAGTTGGTGCCTTTTTCAAGCACCCTCCAAAGGTGCTTCTGAGGTGTGGAGATCCCATTAGCTCTCCTGCATGTCAGATCTGAATGAGAAGTTTGCGGGGGGGGGGGGGAATCCATATTAACCCGTAGAGAGTCTACAAAGGGGAATGGGACCAGCGGCTGAAGAGTGAGCGAGTTGAGGAATCCTAGCAAGCCTGACAAAGACATGCTCTGTCCCTTTGGCTCAGCCTAAAGGATTATTTCCCAGGAAAGTGTGCACACACACACACACACACACAGATGGCTTTTTCCAAGGAGAAAGGCACATGCCCCATCTCTATTTGTTGACTTATTTAGAGCCTGTTTTTCAAGTCATGTAGACTCTCCCAATGCGGGTAACAATAAGATAACATTAAAAAAACCCCGCAACACTTTAAAACACCATCATAAAAACAGCAGGAAGTAAAAGGCAGCAAAAAACGAACGAACCCATAGACACAATGAAAACCAGTAGATGAAAGAGAGGTTTAAAACCATTTGGTGCGAAAGCCAACCAGCCAGTGCCCAGTTAAAACCATTACAGAAATACAATAAAGACACGCTTAGCCTCCTGCCTGGACCTTAGCTCTGAGCTCTCTGGGGAGGGCGTCTTCTGCAGCCCCATCTCTCCCGCTGGAGGGGCCTCCTCTCCTGTTGCAGCCTGATGCCCCTACGAAGGAAGATATTGTGGGGAGGGGGAACAGTGTCCGGGAGCCAGGCCCAGGCCCCCCAGGGAGATGGGGCGGAAGCCTATGGTGCTGATGTCAGGAGAGTGCTGGACTCAGCTCCTGCCCTCCTCCCTCAACCCCACCCCCACCCCGTTCTCTGGCCTGAAAACCAGAGAATGCCAAACCCAGTATGCTTGAAGAATTCCCATTTTTTTAAATCCAAAAACAAAGCAAAGTGGGAAACAGTAGTAGGAACCATTTTTTTAGGTCCATAGTTTCCAAGCTGTATTAATCAGACTAAAGTCAGAGTTGGGACTGGACTGAGAGTTGTTCCTGAGGTGGGTTTACTGTCGGACAAGTCAGAATACCCAGTTTCCATTGTCTCTCCCCACCCCACCCCAAGTTCCTTGCCCCCTTCCAAAGCCTTCCAAAGGCTACTCTTGAGGAGTGAGGGGGACCCTCTGGAACAAAAGAGGCTTGGGTGTGTGGCAAGAAATGGACAGAAAGGCTTAGCTCAGTTTTGCTAGGGCTCCATCACAGGTCCAGCCTGCACTGTTTTGCAGGAATTCGTGAAAACTCCTTATTTAAGTTGTACACATTTTGTACAGTTTCTTACATAAAATATGCAGTTTGTCACACACAGAGAGAGAGAGAGAGAGAGGGAGAGCATACTTGGTTTTCGCATACTCAAACTGCCTTGCAAAATCTGGAGGCATGCATAATCCAACTGGGCGTTTCATGTCTATCCACAAGCAAATCCAGGAGCCTCCTATTGGGTTGTTTCTCTTCTGTGAGAAGTGGATGAATGAATCCCCCCCCCATATCCCTCTGTGCAGGCGGTATGTGGGGGGTGGGGGGAGTGAAAACCCAGGTGTCTTACTCTGTGCAACTGGGAGCCCAGCTGGGAGTTCTTCATGCTTGAGTCCCACTGAATCAGTAGGACAAGTCGGTCATGACCAACTGAGTCTCTAGACCCAACCAAACGGAAAGAGGAGAAGTATAGAGAGTTGCTAATGTGAGCTGGGTTTTCCCCATTTGTTCCATTACCTTCTGACTCTGCAACACCCAACAACAGTATCCAAAACAGTTGCATGATGAACAGGGGACCAAGTGGGTATCTAGAACAGTCCCCTTCCGAAGGCAGGACCAGATGCCTGCAACATGCCCCTCCCCAGCACTTGACCTCCAAGCAACAAAGGGCAAGCAGGTGCCTGGACAACATCTAATGTTAGATGACTCAAGTGAGTGAGCCAAGCCAGAAGCTACCACAGAAGGCAAAATGACCCAAGCTCTCCATGCCTGGCAAAGATTCCTTCAGAACTCAAGACTTTCACCACCGTTACCAATGGGACCCTTGGTATTCCGTTTTTCTAAGTCACCTAACATTGTTCCCTTGCTTTTTAATCCTTTAGAGGCCAGCTTCATGTTGTGAATATGTATAGTCAAAGCTTTCTTCTTTCCTTCTTTCCAAACCTTTCAAGGCATCCTCTGATAATGACAGAGAGGTAGTTTGGCACTGGAGGGGCACATCGGTTTTGTCCCACCACAAAAGCTAAGGTTGAGCAATGAGGTTGAAACACAGTTTATGTGGAGCAGCTTTCAAATTAAAAATAAATAGGCCACCATGCATGATGAAAGGAATCTTAGTCCATCTAGAGTAATTTGGAAGGAAAGGGGCACCCCTTATTTGTGTTTGGAGTGTGCTTGCCTGATGGGGTGATGTGAACAAGCTCCATCTGAGAAGAGGCTTTCTTTTCCCCCTAAGTGCGAAGGACGTCTTCTGAGACGGTGCCTTGCTACCTGCAGCTTTGATCAGTACTTGTATTGAAAACATGTTTTTGGACCCAACCTCCCATCACTCAGCCAGAATTTAAAATCACCCAAAGTACCACTGGAAAAGTAACTAAATTCACATTCAGTTCACCAGGAAACTATAGAAAAGACTTTCAGATGTAATTTAGATATTATTGAATTAATTAGTTGACCTGAATTAGTTCATACCAAAGAACAAAATGATGCTTAATAAAAGCAAAATAAATAAATTTGTTGTTCATTAAACTACAGAAAGGGAAAAGAAAGGCATTATAATACATTGATGAATAGAAGAGAGGCAGGAAGAAATACGTAATCTGGGTAAGCTAATATCTTTCTCGTCTCTCGTTTCCATACAATGCATTCCAATCATCCACAAAACAGTCCCATCTCTCTGTGCATGTTATATGCCATGATGCTATAATGTATACCTTATATTTTATGCAAACAGCCTAGCCATTTCTACATTTAAGCAGAATACAACTTCAGTTCCAAAAGAAAGCATTCTGTTGCTTTCACAATGACTTATATGTTTACCTGGAAGAACATCACACCCAACAATCTGAAGGCGGAGGGCCACGTTTCAGGGGACCCATAACTGGAACAGAGGTGCAGCGCAGGAGACGGCACACGAGGCGTCAGCTGTGGGATCCCTGGGAGACAGAGGCCCCGGAGGAATTCTGGGCCCTTGCCAGTGGTCCTGATGGAGGGAGATCACGCAGGGGCCACAGCCAGAAACTGGGGGGATTGGAAGTGGCAGCTTGGGATGGGGAAGGAGTTCTGTTCACTTTGTACTTCAAGGCAAACTTAGCCAATTCACACTTTCCAAACCAGTCTGTCAAATGAAACACAGACTCAGGCCGCAAAGATTGCACTTCTTATAATTTTGCAGCGCAGTTCTCCAGCCCAGTTATGTCTACAAAAATGCATCTACTAAGGTAAAGTGGGCATAAAAATGCATATATTAGTGAGAATATCATGCAAAAATCTGAGAGGAAATGGCTTTGCAAAAATGTACATGTTAGTCAAAACCGCATACAAATACATGCATATTAGGAGAAATTCACAATTAAATCTTGATGAATTTTCATGAGGATATTTTTTTAAAAAATCCAAATTGTTTTGGAAGTGTGTGGAACTGACTTGAAAACTGGGGAAACGAGAAGACTGGAGAACCAAAATCGACAGGTGTCTCCATCCTTAGTGCCGGCAAACACTCCAGGGAGATTCCAGGCATCACCACAAGGGGGCGATGAGGACTGAGGAGGAGCGGCTTGGACTAGGCCAGAGCAAAGAGGGGTGCTGGGCACCATTTCTGCAATGGGGTGGAGCAACTCACAATTTCCTTGTGCCCTGTATATCAAAACCACTACACACGCATCTGTTTCTTTCATCCTTGATTTTTTCTTTCAGTCAGCACAGAAGGACTGTCCTAATCAGGGTAGGGAGGGTGCAGGCTGCACATCTCACCTCTGGCCCCATCCCAAAGGTGAAGGGGGAAGAGTTAAATGGAGCAAGAGAGGTTTGTTTTCCGAGCAGAGACCCCAGCAAGGCTGCAGAAGAGCCAAGAGCTTCCCCTTGGTGCGAATTTGGGCTAGGCATGCAAGAGAGGGAGGGAGGGAGGGAGGGAGGGAGGGACACGGTGAGGCTTTTTAAATTGGTCTCTTGATAGTTTATGAAATAACTTTTTTTCCTAAAGTACTTCTTGATATTTTTATGTTTACCTATTTGAAACTTCAGTTCAGCCTCATAAAAAATACATGAGAAGTAAGTAAGTGGTTCCCGCAGATGTTTTATACATGATTTGAGAAACGGATCTGATCTGCGTAGAGGTGAGAGATAAATATTTCATCGCTTGTCATGGACGGACTGCCGGCCGACCAACTCCAGACAGCAGGGAAAGGACAGGTGGAAACAGAAGCCAGAGGCGACACACACACACACACACACACACACACACACGAGCATTTCCCCCCAGATGCTCCCCTGGAAAGGCCGGGTGAAGGTGTCTCTGGTTTAGCTCTTGCCGCCGTCCTTGAGAATGGTGTGTCAAGCATCAAATCCTGCAAAAGAGCATTAGTGCTGGCCTCATCCTGATTTTTATTGCTGTGGGGTTTGCTGAGTTTGGGGGATGGAGAAGAGGAAGAAGAAAACACAAAGTGTGGTGTGGGAGGAGGAGGAGCAGAAGCAGAGAGAGACCAAAAAGCCAGAAGGATAGAGCAGGAGACAGTGAAGAGGGAGCCTGGAAGGCTGTTGGGGTCCCTGTGGAGTCTCCATTTCCCAAATGTAAAATGCATTTACTTAAAAGCATATTTCACCTGCAACTTTACAGATCCCAGGACAGCAGTACGCAATAGACACAAATAAAAATTAAACATGCCACAGAAATTGCATTATGTTGAAATAAATAAGACATATTAGACCAAAAACAAGAGTAGACTGAAATGACCAGCTTTAAACTACCTGGGGTAACAGGGAAGTTTTGACTCGATGCTGAAATGATTGTAAAGTTCGCACCAGCTGTGCCTCTGCAGGGAAGCATTTGGAAGGAGCCACCACCGAGAAGTCACACTTCCTCCCTTGGCAGAGGTGTGTGAAGAGCCTTCTCTGAAGGTTGTAGGACACCCAGGGAGGTTGCCATCGGTGGAGGAGAGGGAGGGAGCTTTGCTTTAGTGTGAATGGATATTTAATATCTTAGTTTTTGAAAGAGAAGTGGCCAATAAACTCACAAATAAATAAACAACCTATTTTGAAAACGGAATGATGGATGGCAGACACCAACATCCAGAGGCATGGAACGGTTTGCGGGGAATCATAGAATCATAGAATCATAGAATCATAGAGTTGGAAGAGACCACAAGGGCCATCGAGTCCAACCCCCTGCCAAGCAGGAAACACCATCAGAGCACTCCTGACATATGGTTGTCAAGCCTCTGCTTAAAGACCTCCAAAGAAGGAGACTCCACCACACTCCTTGGCAGCAAATTCCACTGTCGAACAGCTCTTACTGTCAGGAAGTTCTTCCTAATGTTTAGGTGGAATCTTCTTTCTTGTAGTTTGGATCCATTGCTCCGTGTCCGCTTCTCTGGAGCAGCAGAAAACAGCCTTTCTCCCTCCTCTATGTGACATCCTTTTATATATTTGAACATGGCTATCATATCACCCCTTAACCTCCTCTTCTCCAGGCTAAACATGC